CCTTAAACTCTAACACTTAAACCCTAATCACTACTTCAAATCTACTCGAGTACCAAACCCTCTTTTTGCATAACACAAAACCCTAAGATTAGTATCGGATGGCTCCAAAAAAGTATCTGCACCATAATCCAACAGACTAGTATCCATCACACACTGACTAATATCTTATTATTGTACACTAATCTAAATAGTTACCAAAAGTGCTAGATGCTTAAATAAACAACGGATCATATCAGAATAGTTACCAAAAGTGCCCCATTAGAATATCCAAACATCCCAGAAAAATATTTGAAAACCTGAACTAATGAACCCTAAACCCTAAAACTAAAACGAATATCCACACTACCCAGACGAATATCCACACCACACAGTCTAATATCCTTCTTTCTCAGACGAATATTGATAGCATCGTATTTGCACGTGTTTTCACTCTGGTTTCCTGTCCATTTTGGCTCGAATTGATTGTTCCTTGGCCTATTTTACGCTAGGTTGTGTTGTTTTGTCGTATTTCAGGTCCTAGCAAGTAAAGAGGTGCATAGGCGCAAGTTTCGGGTCATTTGGAGGTCAAATGGCGAATCACAGAGAGAATTACGGGCAGCCCCTGCCAAATTACGGCCGTAATTGGCCAGGGCATGCCCGTAATTAAATGGCCGAGCCTTCTCCCCTGCAATTCTTCTCGGTGGTAAAATTACGGGCAAGACCCTAAGAATTACGGCCGTAATTCCCAAATTACTGGCGGTAATTGGGAAATTACGGGCGTACCTCCTCCTCCTGCATCTTAAGTGAAACGTGCGTTTTGGTGTGAATTACGGGCAGGAAGTGATTACGGCCGTAATCCTGCCCGTAATTCGCCCAGAGTCGGGTTTTTGGAGGCAGATTCGAGCCAAGGAAGGGGAATTCGATTTTCTGGGCAAAAACAGAGTTTTAGAGAGAGAAAGAGCGAAGAACAAACCCTAGGAGCTATTTTGGAGTGGATTTCTCATCATTGAAGCCCAGATTGCGTCCCTAGGAGTGAAGATTGACATCCCAGAGCAGATTTTCCTCATCTTTATGAGTATGACTACTCTGATTTCTGTTTTCCTTTCTCTCTCTATGGAGTAGAACCTCTCTCTCACTTGGGTATGAAGAACCCTAGTTCCTTGTGTTAGGGATTTGATTGTAATGACTTGGGATGATGTTACTGTTTGATTTTAATCGAATGACGCATGTTTATTGAATTGATTGGAGTCTGATCAGCTTTTCTCAATTTCTGCTGCAACCTGAGATAGATAGAATCTGATTAGGTTGTTAGAGCCTCTTCATTCGATAGTAGGAGACTGGCTATACGAGAGTTAGCCAGTTTACTGCTTTGTACTGGAATTCAATTCCACTAGTGGAGTTCTGTGTTCATAGCCTCAGCTTTCTATCCCGGTGAAGACTAATCGTCTGCCGGGTAGTTAGACTGAGAGGGCTTGGTCAGCTTAAGAGATTCCAAGCTACTGTCGGATCTTCCGCAGTCTAATCAACAGTAAATCAACCCAGGGAATTACAATTGAACCTAACTAAGGGGCTAGGGGGACTCAATCCCGAGTGACTCTTACCTGCTTTTGAAAACCGAACCATTTCCTGCTTTCTTACTGCTTTTGCTTTAAACAACAATCACTCGAATTAGTTTGCTAGATAATAGAGAATCACGGAGTAAGCAGTAGATCTAGACCCCGGGTTGATATTTAAACTTGCCTGTTACTGCATTCCCAGACTGCGATTTCACTTGGTCGCAGTTTGGTGTTGTGTTTTGGTGTGTCAAATATCAAGTGATCCCAAAATGGATATTATCACTATGACAGACTAATATCCACCACATACTGACTAATATCTGATAGTTGTAGACTAATCCGAATAGTTATCAAAAGTGCTAGATGCTTAAATAAATAAAGGATCACATCGAAATAGTTACCAAAAGTGACATTAGAATATCAAACGTCCCAGGCAAATAATCGAAAGCATGAACCAATATCAATTCAACCCAAAGCTAATATCTGAACCACGTAAACTAATATCCATTCATTGCAAACGACAACAAGACTAATAACTAAACCATTAACCCTAAAAAAATAAACCTCGAAACCTTAACACAAACCCTACAGAACAATATCCAAACGTCTCAGAAAAATATTCATAACACATTGACTAACATCCACCACAAACTAAATAGTATCCAGCATGCACTGACTAATATCCGCCACACACTCACTAATATCTTATAGTTGTACACTAATTCAAATAGTTACCAAAAGTGCTAGATGCTTAAATAAACGTTGGACAACATCTTAATAGGTACCAAAAGTCCCCCATTAGAATATACAAATGTCCAATAAGATTTCCGAAAACATGAACTAATATCACTTCAAACCAAAGCTAGACCCTAAACCCTTAACCCTCTTCCCAACACAAACCCTAAACCATAAAAACTATTGTTATTTAATGGACAGTTACCAAAAGTGTCTCATTAGAATATCCAAACGTCCCAGTCAAATATACAAAAACATGAACTAATATAAATTCAAACCAAAACTAAACCCTCAAAACTGAACCATTAAACCCTAAACCCTAAACCTTAACACAGATCCTACAGAACAATATCCAAACGTCTCAAACAAATATCTAGTGACACCTAAATAATATTGTACATATAACAGAATAATATCCATAACACACGAACTAACATCCACCACACACTAATAATACCGGATGGCTCCAAAAAAGTATCCAAAAAAGTATCGGATGGCTCCAAAAAGTATCCACACCAAAATCCAACAGACTAGTATCCATCACACACTGACTAATATCTTATTGTTGTACACTAATCCGAATAATTACCAAAAGTGTTACATGCTTAAATAAACAAAGGATCATATTGGAATAATTACCAAAAGTGCCCCATTAGAATATCCAAAGTACCAGAAAAATATCCGAAAATATGAACTAATGAACCATGAACCCTAAAACTAAAATGAATATCCACACTACTTAGAAGAATATCCACACCACCCAGTCTAATATCCCACCGTCTTAGAAAAATATCATGTAATCCCAAAATTAAGATTATCCATATATAACAGACTAATATGCATCACACACAGACTAATATCTTATTGTTGTACACTAATCCAAATAGTTACAAAAAGTGCTAGATGCTTGAATAAACAAAGGATCACATCGGAATAATTACCAAAAGTGCCCCATTAGAATATCCAACGTCCCAAAAAATATCCGAAAACATGAACTAATGAACCCTAAACCCTAAAACTAAAAAGAATATCCACACTACCCAGACAAATATCCACACCACCTAGTCTAATATCCTTCTGTCTCAGAAGAATATCATGTGATCCCAAAATGGATATTATCACTATGACATAATAATATCCACCACATACTGACTAATATATGATAGTTGTAGACTAATCCGAATAGTTACGAAAAGTGCCATTAGAATATCCAAACTTCCCAGACAAATATCCGAAAGCACGAACTAATATCAATTCAACCAAAAGCTAATATCCGAACCACGTAAACTAATATCCATTCATTGTAAACGACCACAAGACTAATAATCAAACCTTTAACCCTAAAAAAAAAAAATCCTAAACCCTAACACTAACACCCTAATCACTTTACCAAAAAAGCCCTATTAGAATATCCAAAAGTCCAAGAAAATTTCCGAAAACATGAACTAATATCAATTCAAACCTAAGCTAGAACCTAAACCCTAAAATTTCTGAAAATTTCCTAGTGTGTTTAATTTGATGTAAGAAACAATTTTCCAATCCTTCACAAATTGAAAACCCGAACCATAAACTCTAAAACTTAAACTCTAAATTGGTGTAATCAGTTTCGGGTGGTTGGGTTATTTTGGGCCGCCGTTAAACATTAGTTTAATGATGGATATTGGCTTGCGAAGGAAGAATACTAGTTCATTTCAACAATGATGCAAAGCAATATCAACATAACAGAAAATAATATCTACTGAGAACAAATAAATATACACATAAACAAACATATATAAATATCACTTAGGGCCCACAATTTTCGTTCTCTTTCCACTCCTCTCCATTCTCCCGCCCAAACTCAAGTCGGGCCCACCACGCCACTTGCTCGGCTCGCCTTCTGCGCCGCACGTTGGGCCGACTTCTACACGGAAGACCATCTCCAGCTCACTTAAGTGAGCCACCACCACGCCGCCTCTCTCCTCCGTTGGATGAAACATGGGCCCACGTGGCCCAAAATCCGGCCCTGTTAGTTTCTGCTAACCCTTTAAGCAGTTAGCAGATTAACTTCTGCGGTTTTTTTGGTTTGATGGTCGAGTTTACTTTAATTGTTGTGCGATGCAACCTCATTCTCTTATCTCTTCTCTGCTGCTCACTCGCACAGAGCTAGGAACTCGAACTGCCGAACTCCTCGAGGATACTGCTGTTGTTCTGAGGATCTCTTTCTTTCGTTGCTGGTAAGTTATGGTTTGCTTTTGGGTTTTCATTTAGATCAGTTTTCCAATCTCTAGATCTCTAATATATGTCTTTTCTCTCTTGATCTCTCTCCGATCAGCAGATGCACTCAAAGGAGCCAGAAGACACAAACTACTGATCGAGGTAGTTGTAGACACCACATTTTGTCCGGGATAATCGTTTTATTGAAAATAATTATTGTCACGTCGTACTACGATTATATTTAAAAAGAAGTTGAAGATAGTTTGGTTGAGACTAGCAGTTGCAAGTCAATATGAACCAACAATTGTCAAATTTGCTCCTAGTCAATTCTAGGGCATAATTAGTTAAGATAAGATCGATTTAAGTTAAGATTAGCAGTGGCAAATCTTAAATATAAATTCTCAATTGGATGGAAGAAATGGCTATAGTGCAAAGTCTTTTTTGTACACTTTGGATTTGGATTCGGCATTTGAAATGGGACTAATTGAATAGTGTAATGAGCTTTATTATCAAATATTCAAAGTTGATACATCGTACAACTTGGATAATGACCTCCAAATAAAGCGAGAATTATAACTAATTACAATAAACTAATTACAAATTGAAGTGATTGCCTTCCTACTTTGAGCCCAAACAAATTGTGTACCTGCAAAAATAAAAGAGAGGAAAACAGATTAGTTTTAGCCCAAATTAAAATTATGAACCTAATTCAGACCCATGACTTTTGGCCCATACTTGGTCAACATGACCTAACCCAGTCAAAAGGCCCAATCATAGAGTCAACCTCCGTCAACTCAGGTCAATGTACCTTATCCCATCCCAAAGGACCAGCCATCATTACTGCCATTTCTTGAAAGGAGTAAAACGGTCACCCCCTCCCTGAATACCAACTGAAAACTAACAGCATAAGTGGCAGCTGCCTCTTCAAAGTGTGACAGACGGCTACCCCCTTGGAAACCAATCAAAAACTAACACCAATCCAACCATGAACTAAAAACTGCCACCACTCCTAAATGAACAGTAAAAAACAGATATAAATAGAAGCTTTACCACAATGTTCAGGGGGGGGGGGAGGAGGAAAAGGAAGAAAAAGAGAGTTCTTGAAAAGTAAATCTGGGAATTGGCAAGAGCTTTAAGACATTCAAGAAGTAGACAAGAGCGTTAAGAAGCACTACCAAACGAGAGCAGAGATAGCAAGAAGCTGTCGATATCGCCATCAAACATCACCACCAAACGACAAAGAAAAAGGTTGGTTTTTCTGCACCCCACCAATCATACAAGCGTGTATTCATCCATACATTCATGTAGAAAAACTCATTTAACATGCTCGTAAATGATGATGCTTCTAATTTCATAATCCATAGTTAGGTTGCTCAAATTTGTATGTGAAGTGGGTATTACGAAATTCTGATTTTTGTGACATGTATTCCTCTTTACGCCATTCACTTCTTTCGTTACATGCTACAATAGACAGTTTCTTTTTTATCACCCACATACTATGAATCAGCTTAAATTGCTTTTAGTTTTCTAGCAAGCATAATTCTTGCTAAGTTGCTAGCTAAACTTAGTGCTATTATCAGCTAGGCTAGTTCATTTACACTTTCAACATACCAATAATCCAGCAATCCATTCAAAACAGAAAAAGAATTTAAATCAGACCCTTGGAAGAGTATTTTAAAAATACCTCTTTTTGTGTTTAAGGGCACCCCCTTTCGACCCAATTACCAACTTTTGGTAATTACAACTTCTCTTTTTAGTTGTTATATTTTCGCACGCCTAACACCATAAAAGCCCTGATGCTATTGAAAATTTCAGATTTTACCAATTCATACCAGTTTTTTAATCAATCATATAACCAAATCCCAATTTAGAAGAAAGCTTCCCACCAATATGGTGGTCATAAGCAGTAGCTTCGACCTCATATTACGCTAGGATCATTATAGACACTAAAATTTAATAAAGCAAGCTTTCGTTTTCAACAAATCCAAAACCAAATATTAAAGCCGAATGAGCCCAACAGGGGTACGAACCAAAACTCTGTTTTCTTAACACCACAGAAATTAATAGATAAAATACTAGCCACAATAACCAATCCATTAGTCATAAGTTAGGAAGAGAATCACCTGTTGGTCTCTTTAAATCGTAGGGATCTGTTAAAAAAAAGAAGAACCCTAGATCAGAATCCAAAAATAATGTTGATAAAATTAACCAGAATAACGAAATAGAAAATAAAAATAACCTACCCAAAACCAGACCCTCGCCATCGGCTCTGGCGAAGGCCGCGCCGCCGTCGACCGCTGCCTTTCCCTTCCGTCTCTCGACGAACATCCGAGACAAAAACAACAAAATAATCAGAATGCGGATTTTGAATATATATAAAAAAAACAAAAGAAAGCCTACATGCAAACAAAATCTTACCCAGATCTCTTCATCATCCTCGTCGTTTCTGCGAAAGAGAGTAAGAAAGGGAAGATGGATCGAGGGTCACATCTAGTTCTCGGTCTAGTTTTCCGGAAATAAAACAAAATAGGGATTAGAAACTTGAAAACCTTAAAAAATCAAATCTAAAGACAGTGGAAATCGCAAAATAAAAAGGGGAAACAAACCTTCAAAACTCGGTTTTTATCATCACCGGCGGCGCATGTCGCCGTCATCGTCGTCCTAGTAGCTCGGACGGGGCGAAAAGAGACGAGGCGAGAGGCTTAGAGCGGCGGCGGTTAGGGTTTCGCAAGGGAAGAGAGGGAGCAACAAAAAAGAAGATGAAAACTACATCGGTGTTGGCGAGCGCTTGAAAAATACGACACCAACGCTGATGAGTGTTTGAAAAGTACATCGGTGCTGGCGAGCGCTTGAAAAATACGACACCAACGCTGATGAGCGTTTAAAAAGTACATCGGTGCTGGCGAGCGCCTGAAAAATACGACACCAACGCTGATGAGCGTTTGAAAAGTACATCGGTGCTAGCGAGCGCCTGAAAAATACGACATCAACGCTGATGAGAGTGTGAAAAATATATCGGTGCTGGCGAGCGCCTGAAAAGTACGACACCAACGCTGATGAGCGTTTGAAAAATACATTGATGCTGGCAAGCGCCTGAAAAATATGACACCAACGCTGATGAGCGTTTGAAAAATACATTGGTGCTGGCAAGCGCCTGAAAAATATGACAGCAACGCTGATGAGCATTTGAAAAGTACATTGGTGCTGGCGAGTGCCTGAAAAATACGACACCAACGCTGATGAGCGTTTGAAAAATACATTGGTGCTGGCAAGCGCCTGAAAAATATGACACAAACGCTGATGAGCGTTTGAAAAATACTAGGGATGGCAATGGGTCGGGTTGGGTCGGGTTTTGCCAAACCCAAACCCAAACCCATGGGTTTATCCGTGAAAAAAACCCGGGGTAAAACCCATTGGGTTTGAAAAACTCAAACCCAACCCAACCCGCTGGGTATCCGCGGGTTCATGGGTACCCACGGGTTTTTGTCGTAAGAATTTACAATAACAAGTTCCTATCAAAAATAAAGTCAAATATCAATCTCTCAAATACAAATTACCCATATATAAAACACCATTCTAGAAAATTCAAGCAAATCACAAATTAACTATACAAGTTGTTCAACACCAATTTAGAAAACTCAAGAAAATTGAAGCAAATCACAAATTATCCATAAATAACATGATTAATTGAAAGCTTCTTCCTTTCAATTAAGTTTTTTCACTCTCTACTCGATAACATCAACTTAATTCTACACAATTAGAAAGAAAAAATTAGACATGTATCCACAAACATAAATAAGATTAGTTGCTTAGAATATCAAATATACCGAGAAAATTAATTATATAGGTGTGGGCGGGTACCCACGGGTCGGGTTTACCTAAACTCAAACCCAACCCAACCCGATGAATAGTGAACGAGTTTAAACCCAAACCCGGCCCAAAACCCGTCAACACGGATTTTACCCGCGTTGACCGGGTTGGGTCGGGTGGGTACCCGTGGGTTCGGGTTTTGTTGCCATCCCTAAAAAATACATTGGTGCTGGCAAGCGCCTGAAAAATATGACAGCAACGCTGATGAGCGTTTGAAAAGTACATCGGTGCTGGCGAGTGCCTGAAAAATACGACACCAACGCTGATGAGCGTTTGAAAAATACATTGGTGCTGGCAAGCGCCTGAAAAATATGACACAAACGCTGATGAGCGTTTGAAAAATACATTGGTGCTGGCAAGCGCCTGAAAAATATGACAGCAACGCTGATGAGCGTTTGAAAAGTACATCGGTGCTGGCGGGCGCCTGAAAAATACGACACCAACGCTGATGAGCGTTTGAAAAATACATTGGTGCTGGCAAGCGCCTGAAAAATATGACAGCAACGCTGATGAGCGTTTGAAAAGTACATTGGTGCTGGCGAGCGCCTGAAAAATACGACACTAACACTGACAAATGTTCGAAAATATAGCAGTTACCTTTCATATTACGTAGAACAACGAATTTTACGCTTCAATATCACACACAAACACACAACTCGATTCTAACTACATTTCTAACTACATTTCTAAACATCACTTATTTTGGAGTCTTTGACACAGTAATCGTCAAAGTTACTTTTGAAAAATGTGGTGTCTTTATAGAAACTTTGTATAACTCTTTATACAAAGAGATATACAAAGGGGGGCAACTGTAGACACCACATTTTGTCCGGGATAATTGTTTTACTGAAAATAATTATTTTAACGTGGTACTACGATTATATTTAAAAAGGAAGCTGAAGATAGTTTGGTTGAGACGAGCAGTTGCAAGTCAATATGAACCAACAATTATCAAATTTGCTCCTAGTCGATTTTAGGGCATAATTAGTTAAGATAGGATCGATTTGATTAAGATTAGCAATGACAAGTCTTGAGCAACAAATAATTAACTGAAATCAAAATAGTTGAGATCACAGGATCGAACTAATTGAGATAATAAGATTAGTTGAGATCACAGGATCGAACTAATTGAGATAATAAGATAAGCAGTGGCAAATCTTAAACATCAATTCTAAAAATAATAGAGGTGCAAAGCTTGAGGTTCGAACATGGGCGTAATAGATGAAATGGAGGCAGAAGCTTTATAGTTAAATTCGACACATGGTACAAAGTATGAACTAAAAGTAATTACAATGACTGCCTGTTACTAATAACAACAAAATTTGAAGTTTGAACACCATTTCAAACTGGGCCGACTCATCAATTAAAGTCATTGGGCTCCTTTTCACCTCTCTTTGAGCCCAGACCAGATCAAAAACCTTCAAAATGAAAAAGAAAATGATCAGAGTACAACCCAAGACAGAGCCCAAGTTCAAGCCCAGTACCGGCCCAAACGAATTCAAGGCCCAACTCGGCCCAATCTTATCCAAGCAGTTAGTCAGCACCGACTTTCATAGGTGGAGGCTTGACAAGCAGCCTTGAGGATCAACCAATCAGAGAGAAGCATGTCATGCTCATCATCAATCACAGACTAAGCAAGGTGGAGGCCTCATATGCAGCCTTGAGGATCAACCAATCAGAGAGAGGCATGTCATGCTCACCATCAGTCGCAGCATGACACTCGGCGCGCAATTCTAGCTATAAATGAGCTCTTTGGGCTCTGTGTTGAGGGGGGGGGGGGATTGGAAAGAAAAAATACATACAGAAATTCTAACTCTAATCTCTTTATTACAACACGATACTGAGTCCAGGGATTGAATCGGAGCAGCATCAAGAAAGTATTCTTGGAGCAGATATCTTAACGAGGTTGGTGTTGTTTAACTCTGCTTCCATTATTATTGGTAAATTTAAGGTCATTTAGCATAGTCTCTACTCGATCATTGCAGAGTTACAATCATTCATCAGCTTGCCTATTTGTATTCAAGCAATTTACCTTACAATCAACTTTATATTCAAGCACTCTATTTGCTTAAATAAGATCTGCTCATAGTGATGGCATGCTGCTTCTTTCAATTTAGCACTTGTTTACTTGTCTCATCGATTGATAGTCTATTTTAATCTTATGCTATACCTTCATATTTCCTTTTTGCGTATAGTTGATAAACACTATATCATCATACACAAACAAACAAAATCAAATCCAAATCTATGGCAACTATAAACACAAGATTATACCATTCACTAACTCTGACCAGTTTTTAAACCAACCAAAATCCTAATCTAATAAAAATCACAAGCAGAAGCAGTTATTTACAGGCGACAATCTACCAAATCACAAGCAGTGGCTGTGATAATTAATGATCTAGCCTATTATAAGTAAAACTAATTACGTTTTTAGGCAACTGATTTGCACATTAAGAGTCAAAAAGCATACAAAAACAACCATTTTAACCAAAAACACAGATTTACTATCAGATTCGAAATTCAATAACAAGCAAATCCCCTTTTCATATTTTTAACCTCTAACCATACTAAGTGGAGTCCAAAAAAATACCATTTCGATTCACACAAACTCATACATAATCAATTTTTTTTAAACCCAGATCTATTGGCTACCTAAAAATCGTATAATCTTTTTTAGTTCAAATTTCCTAATCACACTAACTGAGTTTAGGAGATCCTTACCCAAACCTGGGGAATGGATCAGGTGAGTAACCTTATGGTGAGTAACTATGAGTAACCCGCCCACATCAGCATGACATCAGCATCCTCTCTCTCCTGGAAAGCCTTTAATTTTCTCCTCTTTAATCTTTGACGGACGATTTCTCACTCGTTTTAAGTCGAAATTTAATTTTGTTTGCACAGTTAGATCAGATTAATTGTGCTCTTCAAAATGATATCCACTTTGATATATTTTTCGAGCAAAAAAAATTGAGTCATTTTTTACCAGTCTATACCATATGGTATTGACTGGTATTGAAATAAGAGCATACCTATGGTTTGAAAAGCGTACCATGGTGGTATGAACAAACCAAGACTGTAGGATGATTGAATACATGATAGTAGAAGTATATTAATTGTCATTTACGACTTTTAACATTGTATACCATAAGATACCATAAAATACCACCCCGTACCAGGGTGGTATTGTATGGTTTGAAAAGTGTACCATGGTGGTATGAACAAACCAAGACTGTAGGATGATTGAATACATGATAGTAGAAGTATATTAATTGTCATTTACGACTTTTAACATTGTATACCATAAGATACCATAAAATACCACCCCGTACCAGGGTGGTATTGTATGGTATTGTGTGATATTTTTTGGTCTTGTAATTTGTTCACCCAGAAATTTGTAGATCCAATAGATCATGATGAACTCGTCCCTGCTGTGCAAACGTTTTCAAAAACGAATGAAAAACGAAGAAGATACCATATGGTATGCAGTTGGTACCGAGAGGCCAGAATATTTTTTTCCTCAAAAAATATTGAAAATTGATCTCATTTTATAGAGCACGATGAACTCGTTCCATCTGTGCAAAAAAAATTAAAATCCGAGTTAAAACGAAAAAGATATGAATCAATTAAGAAAGCTAGTGAAAATAAAAATGACCTTTAATTCTCCATCCTTAGATCTGGATTTTCTAAATAGAGGGTCCAGATTTGGTTATTGATGGGTGCATAACCATGGGTTATGCACCCTATCTTGAGCCCCAAACCTGCCCACTTCTCTCATCCTGACGAAACAAAAAGTAGAAGGTTAGTACCGACCCAAATCTAAATATAAAAAGAAAGAGCCAAATTCACCGGTCCTCTCACCCTGTTGCCGGCGGTTCTAGCCGATAGCGAGTCCACCTTCCATCATCAGCGACCCCCTTTTCTTCTCCCTCGTTCATCACCCCAATCCAAAACAAAAAATATACATCAGAACAACCAATAAACAAAAAAAGTTCCAAGCCTACCTCGTTTTACCCTCGGTCTGGCTCATATCGACGGTCTGATCCCGTCTCCCTTCACACAAAACCAAATCGAAACCCAGAAAAAATCAGAATCCCTCATTGAACTAGAAAACCAAAGAGAAACAAACATACATGTACTGATTTACCTAGATCAACCCCGCTTTCACGGTCGATTAGGGTCCCGGCCAGATTTGAGTGGCCGACGGCGGTCGAGAGGGAAGAACGAAGAGCAGAGGAAGAAGCAGATTCGAGAGGGGGAAGGGCGTCATTTTCTTTTGGTGTTCGGCGGCTGGGGTTTATTTCTGTTTCTCTGGAGAAAAGAAGAAAGATGAGAGGGAGTGAAGAGAGAGAGACGAGAGAGAGGGATGAGCGGCCGCCGCTTTGCTTAGGTTTAAGATTAGGATTTTCTGAAATTAACGGGGCTTTGCCACCGTGTTTTTGGGCAATTACCAAACTGCCCTTCCCCCTTCTTTGCACTAAAACGAGATCAACAAAAAATTCGTGGTCAAAGTGGTTCGAACCCTCGTCCTAGGGGTCGAAAACGATCTGAGTCTGGCAACTTAGCCAGTTGGGCTACTGGCCCATCATGCGTAAAGATAATCATCTCATTCATTCTTGTTTGTTTTAAAATCCTTAATACGAAATGTTAGATGCGAATTAAGTTTATCTCGCTTCTTTTCTAATACGTCAAAATACTTCCTAGTAACTTAAATCCTTATGTTCTCTTTTCATAATTTCATAATAATCCATTTTAATTTTATTAACATAAATTATAATACAAGAACCACGATCAGCGGAACGTGGCAATAATTTTATTTAAAATCATCAAAGCCAAGCGAACTACGTGGACTTTGATCCCGTATTACGGGTACGTAGGCAACCGATAAGGTTCGAGTCCAACTAACCAGTTAACTTTATCTTTAAATTGTACGTCAGTGGACGTATAATTAAATTACAACTAATACGATAAAACTATTTAATGGTCCAGTGGGACCCTAAAATTACAAAATAATTATTAAAATACACCCAACTCGTATAAAACTTATCGACTTAAGTAGTACCGATTTAGGGCGTTGTGGGGGTGTTGCTTAACTTCCCCACACGTAACCGTACTCCCGAACCCAGAACTTTATTTCGCAGACCATATCTCGGTTCTGACCTAAGGTTAGAGCCGACCGAAGAGTGTTCGTTCTTAAAACGAATTTATCTTCTACAAAAATGGAAGCCATCCAAATCCAACTTTATTTTCGAAGTTAAGCCATGAGACTCCCATGATAAGCAATTATGAGCACCCCACTGGTGCTGAGATTTGGGACACCCCAGTGGTATTGAGTGATTATAAACACCCTGCTATTGTCAATATTTTAAGCACCCACTGGTGTTGAGAGTGTGCATATGATCCACTAAAATCAAGAGACAAACACCCTACTGGTGTTCATAAATTACGTGAGCTAATAGTAAAAAGGTGTAATGAGCATACGACATCATACTACTTGTAGAATCTCGGCACTACTACAGTCGACTTTCGCCAACAAATTGAGACTCAGCTTACATGAACTCAAATAGCCAAATCTCGAAGTACAAGGGACACCACATTACGGATAGGAAGCTCTCACAATGTCTCGTGACAAGAAGACCGGGAAGTTCAGGGATCCCATTTATCAAAATCCAAGAATCACACGAGTGAAGCACTTATCTATACAAACAAGCGCATGGTATCAAAATCCTCACTTCTACAAAAATAATAGCCCATTCAACCTAGCTAACGAGAAGTGACACCCGCACGATCAATCATCAAAATGGACTCTCGATCCTTTCAATACTCGCCCCACCAAAGACAAGCGCCAGATTAAGAAAGAAAAAGCATAGTCGGGGGCATGACAAAGTCAAGTAAGTCCCACACAAAAAAAAAGATCGAAAAGCAAACAAAATGTCGTGGGACTTACAATCTTGGTGCCCCCGATTTAGCATTTGAAGTACCAAATACCTGCACCAAGTCAGGGTCTTAGCAGATCAATCTCAAGATACACCAAAAAGGACCTTCGAGTAAGAAAACTTCAGTGATAAGAAAGCCGTTCTAGCCAAAACCCATCATCCAAAGTACTCATCATTTTGAGAAAAAGCCAGAAGCTGAAAATCCACAACATTCAACATTTAGAGGCCAAACAAGGATCTCGACAAGTCCCAAGCCAGATTGCACTCACGAAAATCATAGCCTCGGCTAGTGAAAAATACAGGGGACAAACTCAGCTGAAGATACATTCCCAGAAAATCCACCAGTATTTTCGAACAAGACTTTTTCAGCAAAAAGATCCAGATAATAGTGGTTCTTAATCCATCCAGTCAATCTTATACGTTGGGGGCAAAGCAAAAATCCCTCTTCGAGAGGCTTTATACTGATAATGTCAAGATTTCATATATTCGTTGCCCATATGAATAAACTACACTTCAAGAACAAGGAGACTCATACCATCAAAGTCATATCGGACAAAAGCCCCTTTCATGGGAAGCCAATGTCTGCGACGAAGCCATATGGAGGTCTCCTAAGTCAATCATACCAAGGGCTTCCATATTTGAGTAGATCTTCACAAGGAACACAGTTGGCCACAACATAAAGGCGACGTCTCAAGTGAACAGAATCTTAATGTAGCTGAAGTGTCGTACACTCAAATCACCTATAGGAATAAGTGATGAGCGAAATCCAAACGGGAGCTGAGGAGCTCCCCTACCATTCAATACCTCACGGGAGCTGAGGAGCACCCCTACCAAATTAATACCTCACAGGAGCTGGCGAGCCCCTCTATCAGTCAACAACGCACGGGAGCTGAGGAGCACCCCTACCATTTAATACCTCATGGGAGCTGAGGAGCACCCCTACCAAATTAATACCTCACAGGAGCTGGCGAGCCCCTCTATCAGTCAACAACGCACGGGAGCTGAGGAGCACCCCTACCAAATTAATACCTCACAGGAGCTGGCGAGCCCCTCTATCAGTCAACAACGCACGGGAGCTGAGGAGCACCCCTACCATTTAATACCTCATGGGAGCTGAGGAGCACCCCTACCAAATTAATACCTCACAGGAGCTGGCGAGCCCCTCTATCAGTCAACAACGCACGGGAGCTGAGGAGCACCCCTACCAAATTAATACCTCACAGGAGCTGGCGAGCCCCTCTATCAGTCAACAACGCACGGGAGCTGAGGAGCACCCCTACCATTTAATACCTCATGGGAGCTGAGGAGCACCCCTACCAAATTAATACCTCACAGGAGCTGGCGAGCCCCTCTATCAGTCAACAACGCACGGGAGCTGAGGAGCACCCCTACCATTTAATACCTCATGGGAGCTGAGGAGCACCCCTACCAAATTAATACCTCACAGGAGCTGGCGAGCCCCTCTATCAGTCAACAACGCACGGGAGCTGAGGAGCACCCCTACCATTTAATACCTCATGGGAGCTGAGGAGCACCCCTACCAAATTAATACCTCACAGGAGCTGGCGAGCCCCTCTATCAGTCAACAACGCACGGGAGCTGAGGAGCGCCCCTACCATTTAATACCTCACGGGAGCTGAAGAGCGCCCCTACCCATCAATACCTCACAGGAGTTGTCGAGCCCCTCTACCATTCAACAACGTACGGGAGCTGAGGAGCGCCCTAACCATTCAAAACCTCACAGGAGTTGCCGAGCCCCTCTATCAGTCAACAACGCACGGGAGCTGAGGAGCACCCCTACCATTCAATACCTCATGGGAACTGAGGAGCACCCCTATCAAATTAATACCTCACAGGAGCTGGCTAGCCCCTCTATCAGTCAACAACGCACGGGAGCTGAGGAGCACCCCAACCAATCAATACCTCACAGGAGCTGGCAAGCCCCTCTATCAGTCAACAACGCACGGGAGCTGAGGAGCACCCCTACCAATCAATACCTCACAGGAGCTGGCGAGCCTCTCTATCATTCAATAACGCCTAAGAGATAAAGAGCGCCCCAACCAGTAAACACCTGACCGGAGCTGGCAAGCGCTAAAGAATTATAGCAGAAGATGATTAAGAGCATCAGAATAACCGTCGACGCTGTCATGCGTCAAAGAAGTACAGTAGAGTGAGTATCAGAAAATTTCGCGTTGGCGAACGCTATATAAAAAACGTAATTTTTCCATCATTGGTGAAGACTATCAAAGAAATGGAAGTCGTCACAATTGGTGATCAAATACAAACCCACAAAATTACTTACAGTTCTCACATCACTCCAAATTCACATCCTTAACACAACCATGACGCTACTTTTTCAAAATGTGGTGTCTTTGTAGAAACTTTGTATAACTCTTTATACAAAGAGACATACAAAGGGGGGCAACTGTAGACACCACATTTTGTCCGGGATAATCATTTTACTAAAAAAGAAAACTCACTGAAGCATGGTACTACAATTATATTTAAAAAGGTAGCTTGAAGTGATTTGGTTGAGACTAGCAGTAGCAAGTCAATATGAACCAACTAGTACCAAGTGTTTGTTATCGAACTAATTGTTTGCAATGGCAAATCACAAACTACCTAAATCGTTGCCTACAATTGCGTATAGTTGCGAATCGCGAATCTGTCACTTTAGTGGCCAAGAGATATCTAGAGGGTTGGCTCATGATGAATGTAAGTGGTCGAATTTGATTAAGAGAACCAAGCTTTATTATCAAATGTTTGTCTAAACATACAAGAACGATTACATTTTATAATAAGAGCATAAATGATGATTAATAACACATGGGTTGGTTCAAACAAATTACAACATTATTATACATTATACATAAAAAGCAGAATCTGTAAACTTCATTCATTGTTGGCACTGGTCAGATCTGGTGGCCCAGCTTGTTCTAACAATTTGGTCTCCTTTGGTCACCACTTCAAGCCCAAAACAAACTACAAGCCTGCAAAAGAAGAAGAAAGCAATCAGAAGTCAGAAACCTCCCATCATCTCGGTCCACAATCAAGCCCATGTCAACTGACACTTAGTCAACCAGATTTCCCCTGCCTGTATCCCAACAGAAGGGGCAGCAGCAGAAACTACCACCGTCCTAGAGAAGTAGGAGGGCGGCCACCTGTTCAAAAGACCAATCAAAACTCACCACACAACAACCTGCAACAAAAAGGAAGCAACAGAAAGGAAGCAGTTAAAGTAAAACCAGATTTAGGCACAAAATGGCTGCTGCAGGAGCCACCCCCCTCAAAACTACCAACAATTACTTGCCAACACACACATATGAACAGTAAAAACCTTGGTATAAAACCACTCTTACAACCAAAGGGAAAGGGGGGATCGGATCGGTTTTCCTTGAGTGAGAAACAGACAGGGATTGGAGTCTAGATCTTTGAAAAACAACCAAACGAAAAGAAGAGAGGCAGGTTAGAGCAGCAAGAGATTAGCTCAAGAACAAAGAAGTCAGAAACATCAAAAGGGGGCTTCTGGCTGGAAATCCAAAAAAAGAGGGAAAGAAAAAAAACATAGGAAGCTTGAGAGGAGAATAGAGAAGCAGATCAATAGAAGATAAAGGAGGTAACAGCAGCACGCAAAAGACGAGGAAAAGGCATCAAGCATCAAGCATCAAGCAGCCAGCAAAAACCAAACAAAGGAAATCAAGCTAGAAGTTCCAGGTTGGTAGTTTTCGGATCCACACAACACCCATATTTCATGTACAGTATAAATATACTCATTCATCTAGACCTATCAAGCATAGGTGGAAGAAGAAATGAATGCTCTACATGATATATTTGTATGTATATGGTTATCTTAGATAACTTCCAGTTAAGAGTTTTTTTTTCTATTTATTTGAAATCAAATCATGCTACAATTTAACCAAGCCAACCGAGTTGATAACAGGTTAAACAAAACCACACTCATCTAGCATCTATAAATTTGACAAATGCAATAACAAAAGCAATAAGTAGATCGGTTCTGTTCTTCTTCTAGATTTGTTTTTTTGTGGATATTGCTGCTCTTCATATTTCAGTATCTTGTGATTTAAGTTTTTTTCTAGATTTGTTTAACTCAAACTCTCTCCATGTAAAACAATAGACAAAGAGATTTTTCTAGAATCCCTAATCAATTTAAAAACCAGTTTCTGTACCAGTTAAACAGAAACGCTTGACCTCAATCAACCCATAAATCATAAGCAGTAGCTGTGATATTAGGTTATCTCAATCACTTATAGCTCAAAAACTAAGTAAAACAAACTATTTACAAAGTTTCATCATAAACACTCATTCACCCAGCAAATTAGAAAATTGATTCCTAACAATTTAGGACCCCATTGAATAGAAAATAGACAAACATAAATCTCGAGTTATGAAGGATATCACCACAATCTGTTAATCTAGAACCTGCGAAAGTAAGGAGTAGAATTAGATTCGTCAAAAGTTTCGAATATAGAATACACAAAACAGAAACACAGATCTAGCTTACCCAGAAAGGGTTTCAGAGGTTCTGGGGTTGGCTCCCGCCGACGGCAGCTGCTCCTGCGCCGGCGGCGTCGACTCCTGCTCCGGCGGTTCCAAGCCGCCCTCTTTTCCTTCGATTGCAACCCGAAAAACCCCGAATCCAAAATAAACGCTCAAAATTATAAACAAAGGAAATCTAATTAAAGCCTATTCGTCAATCTTACCGAGAGAAGAAACCGAAGGGTTTCGGTGGAGTCTCTTGCCGGCGGCAAGGCTCGCCGCCCTCTCTTGCCCTCGCATAAATCCAAAACCCAAAAACATCAGAGTTCGGTTTTTGAAATAGAAAACCAAAAGAAATCCTACATGCAAGCCGTAATCTTACCCAGTTCGCCATTTTTTTGGTCAATCTGGGGAGTTCGAGTCCTTCTTGTGTCTGGAGATCGGAGAGAAGAAGGAAGAATGAGATGATTTCGTTCTCGGGCGTGGATGATCTCTAGGTAGTAGATCGAGCGGGGAAGAAAGCAAATTCGAGAGGGGAAAGGATTTCGTTTTTTTTGTTGTTGTTTGTGTGTAGTTTCAGAGAGGCGAGAAGAGAGAGACGCGAGAGAGAGGCGGCCGTTGGCCTTAGGTTAGGATTGGGTTTTTTTTTGTCTCAAGAGATGATTTTATACCTCATTTGGAAATGACGGTTTTGCCCCTAGGGTTACGACATATTTACGCCCCCTTGCCACCGTGTTTTCGTGAAATTACCAACATGCCCTCGTTTTGTCTATGTAAGTCTGTATGAAAATATACGAAAAATTGTGTTCGGAGTTTTGAACTCGGGTCCTTGAGTATAGATGTAAAATGCTTTAGCCAGTTAGGATGATAGCCCATCATGCATTAATTTGCCCATCTTGTTTAAATTTATTCATTTTAAATCATTAATACGAAATGTTAGATGCGAATTAAGTTTATCTCGTTTCTTTTCCAATACGTCAAAATACTTCCTAGTAACTTAAATTCTTATATTCTATTTTCATAATTTCATCATAATCAATTTAAATTTTATAAACAAAAATTATAATATGAGAATTACGTTCAGTGGAACGTGGTAAAAGTTATAATCAAAATTATCATAGTCGAACGAACTACATGGACTTTGATCCCGTCTAACGGGTACGTAGGCAACTGATAACGTACGAGTCCAACTAACCAATTAACTTTATCTTTAAATTTTTACGTCAGTGGGCATATAATTAAATTACAGCTAATATGATTAAAATTATTTAATGGTCCAGTGGGACCCAAAAATTACAAAATTATTATAAAAATACACCCAACACGTATAAAACTTATCAACTTAAGTAGTACCGATTTAGGGCGTTGTGGGGTGTGATTTCACTTCCCCACACGTAACCGTACTCCCGAACCCATATCTCTTAACCGCAGACCATATATCGGTTCTGACCCTAAGGTTAGAGCCGATTCGAAGAGTGTTCGATCCACTCCAAGTAAGATCGATGGCGACTCCCAAAAATGCCGAAGCGACGACATCGGACCCCGAGTGCCCAAAAATGCCGACTCCCAAAAAATTACAACTAATACAAAGAGATATACAAAGTGTAGTTAACAATTGAGAATGGCAAATTGGTTGGTAATTTTGTTATTTAATTAATAGGAAATTTAATTTTGTGTTTGCAGGGTCACGCAAGTGGAGAATTTCGAATTTGGTCAGAGCAAGCCAAGCTAAATAGGTAACTTAGTGTGTTTGTGGGTGTTTTTTCATTCAACAATTAGTAATTGATTTTTTAGAGCTCAGCTATTAGCAAATGAAAGTGTCTATGTGTTCATGTAACTATGAACTAAAACTAATCTATACCTAAATAAGACATCGTGATGTATTCACAGCTTACGTGCTCCTATGGACTGATTGTAGGAGTTTTTATGTGAAGGACTAAATAGAAACAAATTGATTTGTATGGTCCTAACTCCTAAGCAGTACTTTCAAGTAAGTCTTCCAATCGTTTCCCATAAGGCAGTGTATCTGATTTCAATTTTCTGAGTTTCTTTAAGTGAATTGGTTCAATTAGGGCTTCAAAGGACATGAAACAGGTTTTAACTATATTGCGGTTACCTATGCTTTTCGTTAACATCCAGGATTTGTATTGGTTAATCTAGAATTTTCTCTCATTCTTCTCCTCATTGCTGTGGATCTACTCTTTATTAGTGCTCTGAAAAATGAATCATGTAGGTGACCCACTCTTTATTAGTCGATGCATAGTTGTTACCTACACACCTTAAGGATTCAAAGGATGCCACGGTTGCGACTAGGTTGTTGATATGAAGTGTTGCCTTCCATGATGCTGTTTTGTTCTCATCTGCATGTGCTAGAAGCAGTGCTGTGAAGCATTAGTCTCTATGATAATTGTGGTTAGTAGCCCTCTTGCTATATGGTTCTTTATATTCATAGTGTATCAAATAGTCAAGAGTTTGTTACAACAGCAATTGTTCTCATTTTACTCTCTAAGGACACATGTTCTGCTTTTGGATGTGGGTAGATGCATGCTTTTCCTTTTGGGAAATCTCTCCTATTGATCAGCTCTTATAATGTAATAATTTAGGTAGCCTAGCTATCCATCATTCAGTGGATCATAGGGTTTCACATGATGCTTTTCTAAATTGGACATCTTTCTGACCACTATGAGACTGAATTTCTCAATTTATGTTTTGTTGGTGTATTTTTCATACAAGTTTATTTTCTATGGCACATGATGTATGCCAATTTAAAGTTGGCCATTTGCTTTGGAAATATGGTTTTTTAGCTTGCTTTGCGTTCAAATGTTCAAATTTATAGTTCTTGAGTTCCATAATATGATGGGTGATTATCTTCAGGTGTTTATGGATGTGGAAATGTGTGTTGAATAAGCTTGAGTAGACTTGGAGAATCTGACTGTAACTGCTGTTTTTTTTTTTTTGCAGGTCTCGAAAGGGATGCAGACCTCTCTAATCAGTGGTTTTAGTTGGGAGTCAATTGGAACACGTTCTCCATACTTTCCATAGCACAAGAGAGGCGTTGCAGCTACTCAGTCCCGAATTACAGATTTCTTAATTCTCTGCTGATTTTTTACTAGGATAAAGTTTAGTAGCTGAGTTAACATTGTCTAATTCCTTCTCTCTATTCTGGCAGTGAGTTGATCTACAAGAAAAAGAAGGATTCTTGGTGACCAGGAGAGATCAAGGACTTCTAAACTAATGAGGATCTAATTGAAGTTTCAAATTGGTTGTAATGCCAAGTGTTGATATAGGAACATATAACCAATCGTTGACCTCTATTCTTTCGCACTTGAATACATTGTTCTATTTTTAAGGTTAGCCTAAACTTTTCAATTCCAAACTATCTTTCGTTGGAAAAGGCATTGAGAATGATGTTCATATTTTAAGCTGTCGCATAAAATCTGGGTAAATTGCAAGGTTAGTCACTGAAAGTACTAAAATATTCATGTTTGGTCACTAAAAGAATTTTATTCCATTCACGGTCACTGGAAGTGCTTAACATTTCACAATTGGTCACTCTCCGTCATCCTCTGTTAACACCTTTAGTTTTTTGCTGAAGTGGCTACCAGAAAGTCTAGTCACCAAATTTTGGCTCAACAAAATCAAAAAGTAACCCGCCATGTCACTAATATATGCAATGTCATGTAACCCGACCCGGCGCTTCCTCTTCTCCCATTGATGGCTACGTCTCCATCAGAGTCGACCTCCCTTTTCCGACGCAAAATCATCCCCACCACCGCTCTCTCTTTTGGCGGTGACCGGTGCGGGTTTGTGTCGTAGCATAATGCGAGAAGGGTCTTGGGCGAAAGATTTGTGAGTTGTAGAGAAGTCGGTCTGTTCCATCTAGAGCAGTTCGGAGTGGCAAAGTCCAACAAGGTCTCCTCTTGAAAGGAAAATAGGGGAATCCAAAAAAAGCAGGGGGTGAAGAGGATTTGAATCGTCCCGACTATAATATGTTCACCAATCATTTCGGTAGATCCAGTCACACTGTCAACCGGCATGGCAACAATATAGATTCCCCAACCCATGGTCTATCTTTTTCTTTACAAAATCATGGTCTATCTTTGCTCCCAACCATTAACCAATTTTTTTTTTATTAGTAAAGCTTCCATCTTTTCTCTCTTCTCCGCTTCTTTCCCAATCATTGCCTGAGCTTCCACGACACATTATGGCCTTGCCCATGATGCTTCAAGTTCTGGTTGTCGTCATTAGAGTCTTCGGCGACAGAACAATCCACTTCAGCTTCTGGATCTGCAGAGAAAGAAAGAGAACAAAAACCCAAAATCCGATTTCTCACAAGAGATTCTCAGTGTTCCCCCTAAATTCTTCAAATCGATTTGGTCTAATTAAAGAACTTCGCATCTCAGGGAGGTTCAGCTTCTTCTTGGGGGTGGCGGTGGTGGGCTGTGAAGGTTGAGAAAGGTTATTTCCGCTGGTGGAAGAGTCGCTAACTTCCCCTGAAGCGGTGGAAGAGTTATCCAAATCGATCGGCATGACGATAAGATTCGTAAGGGTTGGGTACTTGGGTTAACTTTTAATTTTTTTTTTTAGTCAAAATTTGGTGACTAGACTTTGTGTAAGCCACGTCAGCAAAAAAACTAACGTTGTTAACGGAGGCTGACAGAAACTAACGGAGAGTAACCAATCGTGAAATGTTAAGCACTTCCAGTGACAAAAATGGAATAAAACTCTTTTAATGACCAAACATGAATATTCTAGCACTTCCAGTAACCAATATTGCAATTTACCCCATAAAATCTATACCTAAAAAAATGTACTTTTGATCAATTTTTTCGATTCCAAGTAAATTGATATTTTCACTACAAAAAAAAAACAGAGTTTTACTTGAGTGTAGTTAGCAGGACTTGAGACTTCGATGGGCCAAGTAGGCATGTATGATTTGGTGCAGCAAGGAATACTAGGATAACCATGATAGGTTGATGAGTGAGATGGAAAATTGTTTTTAGCTCTATTGAGGTTGGTCTTTTTTCTTGGATTCTGAACTGGAACCGTTTTGTTAGGTTGGGTTGTTTTTTCCCACCTTCATCTCATAAGCAGGAATGGTATTGATAGGAAGTTGTTTTTTTTTTTTTGGCTATAGGTATAATATGATCCTCTACTATGCAGTTTTATAAAACATGTTCCTCTACTATTTTTTACATCAAACATGCCCTTATGTTAAAATTTTCATTAAAAATGGTCAACCACGGTTGAACCGAGATTCACACGACCCGGCATCGAAAAAATTGGGGGTGAAATGTCAGTTTTTCCTCCTCATTTATTTCTCCATGTCTCGTTAAAGTGAAATTATCAGAGGTATTTGGCTATACCAAAGAAACAAAACAATTCTAAAGTGAAATTATGAGGAATATTTTAGACATAGGTTCGCCCAAAGCAAGGTTCGACCATGGTTGATAGTTTTTTAACGCAAATTTTAAAAGAAGGGCATGTTTGATCGTTTTTACAAAGTATAGGGGCATGTTTGATGTAAAAAAATAGTAGAGGGGCATGTTTGATAAAACTGCATAGTAGAAGGGCATATTATACCTATAACCCTTTTTTTTCCCGGTAAGATTGATAAGTTCTT